CCAATGGTTTCCAGATAGGAGGAGTGTTGGGGGACTGGGTGAAATGGTGCCAGGTATTAGTTACAGGAATGTAAATAAAGTTCAACATAGGGGATATAGTCAGTAATAATGTAATGTATGGTGCCAGGTGGGTCCTAGACATATTGGGAGGATCACTTTGTAAGTTATATAAATATCTAACCATAACGGTATATATCAGAAACTAATATAAAATAATATTGAATTTCAACTGTGATTGGAAAAAACACTTTTTAATTTATTTTATTGTTGAAAGCATTACAAATGCCCCCCATTTTCTCCGCTTTTCCCCCTTCCCGAAAAAAATTTTTTAAAAAGAGAAACCACCAACAGGGAGAAAATACAGTTGACCCTTGAACAGCATGGGGATTGGGAGCATATAACTTTTTTTTTTTTAATCCTCACCTGAGGATGTGTTTTATTGATTTTAGAGAGAGGAAGGGGAAAGAGAGAGAGAAACATCGGTCAGTTGCCTTCCAAATGTATGCTCCCCAACTGGGTATCAATGTGCAACCTTTTGGTGTATGGGACGACACTCCAGCCAAGCCACCTGGCCAGGGCTGGAGCATATAACTTTTGACTGCCCCAAAACTTAGTTGGTTTTTGGTGTCTATAACCATCTAACCACAGACCCAAAATAGTATAGGTATTGAAAAAAATCCACATGTAAGTGAACCTGCGCAGTTCAAACCCCTGCTGTTTAAGGGGTCACCCATTACTTGCAAATTATGTGTCTGACAAAGGACATGTATCCAGAACATATAAAAGTCTCTCTGAACTTAACAATAGTAAATTAAACAACCCAGTTAGAAAATGGACAAAAAACTTGAACAGACATTTCACCAAAGAATATACATATACAGATGGCAAAAGTACATAAAAAGATGTTTATATCCATTAGAGAAATAAAAAAAATTTAAAGTTCTGATGAGATACTACACACCTACTAGAATGGCTCAGATAAACAATACTGTCTTGAGTACGTATTGATTGGACATAGAGGAACTTGATCTTTCATACATTTCTGGTGAGAATGCAAAGTGACGACAGCCACTGTAGGAAGGAGTTTGCCAGTTTCTTATAACATTAAGCGTTCAGTTGCCACATCCTGGATATTTACCCTAAAGAAATGAAAGCTTATTTTCACACAAAAATCTATAGACAGGTTCATAGTAAACAGCTTTATTCGTAATGGCCAAAACAACAGGTGAATGAAAAGCAAACTCCATTCATGCAAACAGAATAGCATTCAGTAAGAAAAAGAACAAACTCTTGACATACCACCAATCTGGAGGATTTTGGACATTATGCTGAGTGAAAAAGACAGTCTCAAAAGATTACATATTATGTGATTCTGTTTGTATAAAATTTTTAATCGAAAAAGATTACAGTGATGAAAACCTAATTGCCAAGGGTAGGGTTGGCAGGAGTGTATGATTGTATAGAGAGGTAGCATGAAGGTCTCTTTGGGATGATGAAACTGTTCTGTGTCCTAACTCTGGTGGAGGTTCCATTAATACGTATATGTGATAAATTTACACAGAACCATGCACACAAAATCAGCGCATGTAAGAACTCATAAAATCTGAATAAAGTTTGCTTATAGTAGTGTACCAGTGCCAACTTTCTCATTTTGATAATGGTACTATCATTATGTCAAATGCTGTCACTGGGCGAAGAATACCCAGGAAGTCTGGACTATTTCTGTAGCCTGTACTTGAGTAAAATCACTTCAGAGTAAAAAGTTTAAAATGTACTGTTAAGAAAAAGGAAAGGCAAACCACACAGAACGGAAGAAAATACTCGCAAAACACCTGATAAAGGATGTATATCCAGGATATATAAATATTATAATTGAATAACAAGAAGACAATATAGGCAAGAGAAATAGTTAATTAGTAGCATATCAGCCCACAAAAGATGCTCAGCATTATTAGTTAGTAGCAGATGTAAACCACAGTGATGTACACCACTAGTGTAGATAAAATTAAGTGGCAGTTCAGGAATGTGGAGCAGCTGGAGCTCTCATACATTACTTGTAGGATTGAAAACTGGTGTGGCCACTTTAGAGGACAGTTTGACAGTTTCTTATAAAGTTAAACATAGGGCCCAGCCGGGCGTGCCTCAGCGGTTGAGCATCAACCTATTATCCAGGAGATTGGGGTTCGACTCCCAGTCAGGCACATGCCCGGGTTGCCGGCTCGATCCCCAGTTGGGGGTGTGTGGGAGGCAGTCGATCAGTGACTCTCTTATCATTGATGTTTCTCTCTCTCTCCCTCTCCCTTCCTCTCTCTGAAATCAATAAAGATATATTTTTTTATTATTATTTTAAATATATCTTTATTGATTTCAGAGAGAGGAAAGGAGAGGGAGAGAGAGAGATAGAAACATCAGTGATGAGAGAGTCATTGATTGAACCCACAACTGGGGCATGTGCCCTGACCAGGAATCGAACCCCGATCACCTGGATCCCAGGTCAATGCTCAACCGCTGAGCCATGCCTGGCCGGGCAAGATATATATTTTTTTTAAAAAGTTAAACGTAGGGCTCAGGTATCCCACCCCTAGGTATTTACCCAGAATGGAAGGAGAAAACTGTGAATGTTCATACTGGCATTTATAATAACCACAAAACTGGACATAGTCCACATGTCCAAATGGTCTGTCCTCACAGTGGAATGCCACTCAGTAATAAAAAGGTTTGCAGCATAGGTGACTCAAACACATTCAGCAAGTGAAAGAAGCCAAACAGAAAAATCATGAACTGTGCGATTTTCATTTGTATGACGATCTAGAAAAGGCACAACTAGGCTGTTCATTGGTTGCCAGGACAGGTTAGGGATAGAGGACAGGAACTGACCATACAGGGAACTTTTTGGGTAATAGAAATATTCTATATCATGATTTTGATGGTGATTACAGGATTTTGGTGGTGATTACAGGATTTATACATTTATCAAAACTCATCCATTGTACTGTTAATGCTGGTGAATTTTTTAGAGCCTTTGCATGTGCTGTTTCTTCTGTCTAGGAAGCTCCCTTCTCCTTGCCTGGTTAACTCATATTTAGTGTTCAGATCTTGCTCAAACATTGCATCATTAGGGGAAAGAATCTTTTTCTGAGTCCAGACTGGTGTAGGCTTGCTTCCATTTTCCTTCATTGCTCTTATTAAATCATAGTCACAATCAGGCAGTTGCTAAACAACTAATTATCCCTTTTTGTCTGAACTGCAAGCTCCATGAGGGGCCAGATGCTGATTACTGTTGCATTTACAGTACCTAGCATAGAGCTTGACTCAGCTATTCCAGTAAACATTATACAACTAGCTTAAATGAGTCGAGTTCTCTCTCTCCTGTTTTAGGAGTGGCAGCTGTGGCTTCTGAGCAGGGTACCAGTGGCTGGGGCTGCTCGCCTAACCTTGGGCCCTCCATCTGCTGCCTCTGCACTGTTCCTGGAGAGTTGTGATGGCTGTCACTGCTCGCTGCTGTCACAGGTCTATCCCGTCTTCTGTATGAGCACCATGGACCCCATTCCTGCTGCCAGACCACCCTTTTCTGAGATCGGAGAGAAGCCTTTCCTTGCCATTGTTATTTTAACAGAAAGGGAGACCTGTACTGTGTATGATCCTGGACCTGCTAAGTTTTTTCTTTGATTTCCAGCAGCTTGGGAAACTGAAACACAGCCTTTTGTTCCTGCTTTGGTAACAGTAAGTAAACTCCTGTGAAGCACCAAGAGTACCTTTTCCTCTCCTGATCTCTCTCTCCCTAAGGAGAGGAGTGCAGATCTTCCATGTGAGCTTAGAAGTCGTATCTGCAGACAGTCCATACACTGTCAGTTCTGTGTTCAGCCTCTGAGTGTATGTGTAGATCACCAGAGACCATTATTGTCTCCAGGCCGTGGGGCAGGCCCAGTTTCCAGGAGAAATATGTAGGGTATTTGGTGAAGGGCCTGGCATTCAGTGCTTCTCTCCAGCCTCCTTCCCCCTTCTCGCCTTCCCCGTTTCCCTGCTCTGAGAGGCAAGGAGGGAATTCACATTAAGGTGGGAAGTTGGTCTGGGTGACCAGTACCTGTGTTTGATAGTCCTATGAGCATAGCCGAGTGTTTAAATCATTACCAAAGTCTTTCCTTTAAGCCTGTGCTCTATCTACTTAGGCAGAATTTATGATAGTTACCATTGCAGACAGTCCTCTTTGGAGTATTACATGACTAGTTATTGATTTTGGAAATATTTCTCTGGGTCTTTCTTTAATTTGTTCAGATAATTCATCCAACTCCTCACTAGCTTCCAGTTTATCTTCTTTGTTAAAGCTTACATTGTTTGGGCTTTTTGTTTAGTTTTGTTTTTTCATCTGGATTTGGCAATAGCTCACTAGATTTCCTCTTCCAGCTCTCACTCTCCACTTCCAGTGGCCTCCACCCTTCTCTAAGAATTCAGCTGTTAGAACCCAGTTCATGAGCCCTTGCAGGGTGGGCACAGCACAGTGCCTAGCATATGGTAGGCACTTCATATTTGTTGAATCAGTTCTTTGTCTTGTAAGTCTTATCAGGATGTTATTTTTGTTTTGTTAGCATTGTTTATAACCACATACACCCCCAGTAATTCTATAGATCTGACTGGTTTCTTGGTTTATTGTGGTATGTGGGGAGTAGGGTTGGAGCTATCTTGCTGCATGCCTTTTGTAATAGGCCACTTTCGTCCAGTAAGGATGGATAATATGTTTATTAATAGCCAGTACTCAAGTGGGTAGAAAGAGACTGCCTTGGCTTTTAATCAGGTGGTAAAGAAAGAACTGTGGCCAGAACTTAGGTCATGCTTTTGATGCCCCAAACAGTTCAAAACAGTATTGTTTTGTTTTATACCCTAATATACTAAATACTTCTCTCATATTTTCTCATTTTTAAAATATTATCATATCTTATTTTTCTACCTCTTTCAACCATTCTTTCAACCATTACAACTTCATAAGCGTCACACTCGGATGTTGCCATGGGAGTTAGGGGTTGTGTTACAAGTGACAGTGCTGTGCTGCTGTGTTGAGCAGGGTGACACATGTTAACCAGATTACTAGGGTGTGTGTTTGTCATCCTCCCAGGTGACACTAAATGAGATTGTGAATTATTTTTGAATGAATGTTTGTCAACTTCTCACAAAAATTAAGGTTTTAAGTACTCTATAATAAGCACATAAAAAGGATTGGTTTCAAATGTTAAGCCCTGGGAGTAACCTTGAAAATATATCTAGCTCTAATTTGCTTTTTTTCCCCACTTTTCCAGTAAGGTAAGACATGTATGCATATTAATACCAGTGACTTCTTGATTGGAGAACCTGTTTATTCTAGTAAAAGTTTTGTTTTGTTTTTTCAACTACCAGTCATTTCCTTAAGTATAGCAGATACTAACCAGGCTCTGTGATATTTTTCCTTTCTAATTGTGTTTTTTAATGAAGCAGCTCTTTTAACATGATCTAGAATTAATGTTACTGGTAGTGAACAGAGTGAGAACTTGAATTTTAAGGTTGCACAAATTCATTTTCTTAACAATACATTCTGTTCCGTTTTGCAGCTTTTTGGTGAATTTTTGGATGAAGCCATTAAATTAATTGCTTGCCATCATGAGCAGAAGTAAGCGTGACAGCAATTTTTATAGTGTAGAGATCGGAGATTCTACATTTACAGTCCTGAAACGATATCAGAATTTAAAACCTATAGGCTCAGGAGCTCAAGGGATAGTATGGTAAGTTTTAACTTCCAAAAATTAGTCAAAGAATCATTAACTGCTATTACTGCCGCCTCTGGTAATATAGATACCTTGGTGTAAATATTTAATTTGCCTCAAAAAATTAATTAAAACTATAAAATTTGAATTAAAGCTATGACACAGTAAGTTGTTTTGTTCATGGATTAATGGCCTTTGCCATCTTCAAGGATAAATGCTTGGTTATAAGCCATGTAGAGGCAAATGTCTGTATCAGGAGAGAATCAGTGGGTGCTGGTTCATTCCATGTGTACATCTATTCCCACAGGTAATCATTTAATAAGAAGCTGCACTTAATCATCGCTTTCACACTGTAATGAAACTGGAATTTCAGAAATCTTATTTTACACTGAGGAATGAAGTCAGCTGTATCATCTAACTGTGTTTCAAAACATACATATATTTTTAAATGGATTTATAAGCTAATTTCTACAAAAGGCCTAGACTTTATATATCAGAGGCATTCCTTATAAACTGAGAGTCAGTCCTGCTCTTGATTTTAGATCACTAAGTTAATGCAATAACTAGTGTTTGGGGAAATTCTCTACTCCTCACTCAAGCACAATTATATCTTTATTACCTCTTCTTGGACTAGATTGATTTTAGAATCTCTGAAAAAGTTACGTGTTTATAACCTGCAGTTCTCCCTGTTCTAGAAAATCTGCTTGTGTAAATGAAGAGAAATACTCAGGACTGATCTCTGCAGCACCACTTATAAAACAGCATCAAATCATTCACTAGGAGAATCGAAAAACGTGATATATTCACACAGTGAAATACTGTACATTTTAAAGGAAGTAGAGCTGCATGTGTCAACAAGGATAATCTCAGAAATGTAGCATTGAACTTAAAACCAAGATACAGAATATACTTACATTATAGATAGTTTTTATATAGTTTAGAATAGGCAGCCTGGCTGGTGTGGATCAGAGGTTGAGCATCAACCTAGGATCCAGGAGATTGAGGTTCAATTCCCGGTCAGGGCACATGCCCAGGTTGTGGGCT